ATTGATCTTCTGGTTTAAGACATTTATAAATGTAAGTTTGAGTTTCATTATTAAAATGAGTACATGATGAAAAAGGATGGGAAATCCTTTTTTGCAAGTATGTCCTAAAGCAGCGGAACCTCCACATTTTGAATTACAAGTATGTATTTGATTTGCTTTTACCTTTGCATATAATTCTGGTTCTAAATTTTGATAGATCTTATGATATTTTCATCAATCATTTGTTCAATTGATTTTGTTACCCAATATATGCTATGTGTATGCGTAGCATTATGATTTTGAAATTCTACTCTTTCAAAAAATTGAGTTGTATTGCCCCAATTTGAATGATAGAAATTTTTTAAACATGCTATTTGAGTTGCTAAAGCGATGTATAAAATGTAATGTAGTATGTACTGATCTGTTTATAGGAATTGTATGGTAGTTATTTGTTGATTTTAAAATTTTATGTAAGTGTTTCCAATGATTTTCGGCCATCGACAGTGTAAGAAAAATTGAAGGTAGTCCATATGATAAAATCATTGTATTGACGTGATGCTGTTTTTCATGAAAATAAGATTCACCAGTTCGAATAAAAGTTGGTAAGGTGGTTGTTAATGATTCATTTATTATTAGCATATTAGAATAATTAGAAGTTCGTATAAGCTGTGCAGCAGTTGGTAGACGATATGTTTTGTCAGCTTGTTGTTGTCTTCATATACGTTGATAATTTTGGTAGTTGAGTAATTTTTCTAATTGTAAATATGACTATGCCAACCATTTATGATGGAGTCTAAAACGTGAATCGATATTGAGTGTTCTTTGTTTAATATACACTAACCTACATTAAATTAATGGATTTATAATCATGTGATTTATCGCGTCTGTAATAAATTCGCGATTTCTCCCTAATATATATAAAAATAATAAAAAAATAATACATACATATTCTTTATCTTCTTTAAAATAGAAATGTATGAAAATGAGCTATTCGAAGCTCAACGTAAAAGAATTATCGATGCATATCTGAGTAGTATCAAGTAAACGGTTATTTCAACTCAGCTTAGTATTCCCACTAGCACTGTTAACGATACTATAAAAAGATACAAAGAAACAGGTTCTGAAATACCTGATAAGTGTCCTGGTCATCTTAAAATACTTAATCAACGTGATAAATGGACCTTACAACATATCGTTCGAAATAATCGGTTCGCTTCTCTTAGTGATATAACAAGCAGATTAATCTCTAGTCTTGATACCACATTGCATAATAATACTGTTAGAAAATACCTTTATGATGAAGAATTTGGTAGTTATGTCGCTCGTAAGAAACCCCTTTTAACCCAAAAACAGCAAAAGGATAGGTTAAAATGGAGTAGAGAGAAACGAAACTGGGGTGATGAATGGAAAAAGATAATATGGTCTGATGAGTCCAGATTTGCTCTTTTTGAATCAGATGGAAGA